TGATAAGCTAAATCAAAAATATGACATCATTTTTAAGTTTTTATTTTGATAAAATATTATTTTTGGTACCGAATTTTTTAGGAATAAAATAAGGCAAAAACAAAATTTATTAGATATAAAAAATTTTTAGATTTTAAATGAAAAAATTTTAGGTTTTAAGCATTTTAAAACCTAAAAAATTAAGATTATTCTAAAAATGATTTTGTAAATATCCTAAGTACTTACAGTAATTGTCGATGATTGCATGCGAGTAATATTTATTGATATATTTTATCTGGTAATTTACGCTCGACTATAAATTGACTAATAATTAATTATATTTTGCAAATTAAAATTTGTTCAATCATTACTATAAAAGTTGCAATTTGTTGGATTAATAGAAAAAATGTTGAAATTTATTTTCACTAAATTATTATCTCATAATTTAACAAATAATTCAATTAATTAAAAAAGCTTTTTTTTGGTATAATTTTAAAAATCTTCCAAAAATTTTTAAAATTGTTGAAAAAAAATTACAATTAATTCATTTTCATTACATTTACAGTATGACTAAAAGAAAAATTTACACTATAATTTTTTTTATTCTTTTTTTATAAAGCAAAAATATTTTTTAAATTTATTGCCAAATTTGGGGATCGGTAAGGTTTCTTATATTTTTTAGCTCACATTATTGACTTTTCTATTTGTGGGTTATAAAAAAATAAATTAAGCAATATTTTAAGCAAAGATATGTGCTGAATTGTCTTTGCGAGATTCTAACTTAGTTAACAAATTTAAAACTTTTGCTTTTATATTGATTGAAAATCTGAAAAATTGCTTAAAAATTTATAATAATAATATCAATAATTATTATAAGTATAAATACGATAAATAATTATTATTATGGTTGTACTTATAATTATTATTTATAATTATACTTATAGATTTTTTCAGTCAAGATAAAAGTTATGATTATTATTACAATATTATAGCGCTATATCGTACTGATTAAATAAGAATATATTAGAGCAAATTTTATCGTACTGATTTAGTCAAGAAACTTATTAAAATAGTTGTTAGTAATATAATATAGCAATACTAATTTATAGTCATTATTATTGTTATCGTCATATTTTAAATAATAATAATAATTATCATTACTGTTATTACAGTATTATAGCACTTACATCATACTGATTAATCAAAAATATATTAGAAATATGATGATAACAATAATAATATCTATAAATTATTATTGCTACATCGTACTGATCTAGTCAAGAAAAGTTGTTAGTAATATAATATAGCAATAACAATTTATAGTTATATCATTATTTTTATCATGATATTTTAGATCTTTTTCTGCTTGCAATGTTATAATAACAAAGATGTTATCATAAACAATCATTTATAACTAACTATCAAGTAAATATTGTTGAGAACTTATCAACTGTTTCTTTTGATTTTCTACATCTGTGCTGAACTGCTCGTGCAATAAATATTTATGAAAGGATTAAAAAAAGCTTTTTGTTATAATTATCAAAGTTTTTACTTATTAAAAAATAAAAATATTAGCCTCTTAATTATAAAAGAAGATTAAAACTTCAGAACACAGCTGTTCTAAGTATTTTTTCAATTTTAAGTTTAAAATTTCTCGTTGTTTTATTTCCTTTACTTTTCTTTATTTTTCATTCTAACTTTCATTTTGAGTTGATTCCTAATTTATAAATTGTATAATTGATATTCATATTTAATTTTATCATCAATTTTATTTTGTAAAAAATTAAATATCTATTGTAAGGTTAATTTTTCTGACCTTCTTATGACCTGAACTTATTAATGCGTATACTAATTTTATTCTAATAATATGTTATTGAAATTTTTAATGCAATAAAAATGCTATATTTTATAGTAAATAAATAAATATTTAGCAATTTCAAATTTTTGTAACTCAAACAATGCCTGAATTAGAATATTTTCATTCTAGGGAAAAAAAACCACTGAATCCGAATGGATTCAGAAACGATACCATCAACAGCAATGACGATAGATGGGGATTCTTTAGATGCATTGCCAACATCATTTATTCGTTCTGAAATATTTCAAATAGTTATGCAAGTAAGCAATTTTTGTATATTTTTAATTCACAAAAAAATCTTTTTAATAATATTAATAATATTAAGCATAATATTAAGCATAACAATCTCAAATTCTGGTTGTAAATATAATTCAAATATTAAGTAATAATCTGTAAATTAAACAGCACAATTTTGCTTATAAACGTTGATATATTAATTAATTCTATATTTACTGAAATTTAAAAGCTACAAAATATCATCCAAACTTTTATTTATTACATTTTTTCATTATTATTTTGCAAAATATTACTTATACAACACAATATTACTTGTAACTTTTATTATACAAAAATAAAATATTACTTTTGTAATACAAAAATAGAAAAAATTTTACGCTAAAATTTGAAATTCATCAGGTAACCTATTCGCATCAAATTTATTTGAATTATTTATATATTTATTTTTTCACTAAAAAATTTTTTAAATCAAGTTTATATTAGCTAAAACACCCATCTACTTTTTCTTCAAATTTTCAAATTCATTTTTCTTATATGTTTAAATAAAGTGCCTCAAATTCTTAGCAACAATTTGCTTAAATAAAAAACTGAATACTATAATAAATTTAAAGTATGCAAGCAAATTTTGTGAAATTTATTTAAAAAAGTTATCAAATGATTTTGAGTAATTTTTTAAATATCCTTCGTATTCACTTTTGAATATTAATAGAACTGAAACTTATGTTTTCTCTGATGAACTAACTTTTTGAGTTAAGGTTGTAATTTTAAAATTTTTTAAAATGAAATCTATGTTAGCTACAAGATCCATCTATTTTTAGTTCACCAATTAGTTTAACTTTTATTTGTTAACTTTGTATAAATTATTGCAAATATTTGTTATCCAAATTTTTACCGTATAAATAACTATAATTAATTATCAATTATTAGAGTGAATATTACAAGTCACATCACACTGTAATAATTAACTATAATACTTGCAATTACTTGTTAACTTTGCATTAATTATTACAAATATTTGTTATCCAAATTTATACCTTATAAATATGCATGATCAATAGTCAAATATCAGTGTGAATATTACAAATTATGTTTTGTGATTTATTCACACTGATAATTAATCATAACCTATATTAATTTTAATATCTATTAAAATGTTGGAAGTAATAAAAAATAAATACTTAATACTTTTATTTGAATTAAATATAAAAATAAAAATATAATTCAAAATTTTTGGTTCTTCTATTGAGTACAGCATGATAAATCTATGATAAAATGTAAAGTGTCATTAAGAAAATTTTTTTTTTGAATTTTTTAAGAAAAAAATTTTTTTTTGGGTTTTTTTTTCAAGATCAGTCATTTAAAGCCATTTTTTTAGCTTCCATTTTAGCATTTTTGTTTGAAAAAAAAAAGATTGAAATATCAATTTGAGAAATAGTAATGGAATTTAATTTCTAAATATAAATTTGAGACCAAAAAAATGACCTCAAATAAATTTAAAATGTACTGCTACTAATGCATTATTATGCAATGCAATCTTTCTTAGAACTTTATTTTTTTATGCAAATTTATCAAATTTTGTCATAGTTTTTGCACAAAATATCAAATAATTTGAAGTATTATTTTAGCAATTTGGCAATAATTCAAAATAAGCCTTAATTTAAGTTTTTTGTCTTCTTATTGTTAATTTTTATTCTAATTTTTTTTTCAAAAACATAATAATTCGTTTTTTTTTTTTTGTCTCAGACTAAACTAAGCATTTGTTCTGTTATTCTAAGGCTTAACTTAAGTCATCATCTGAATCAAACACTAATCTTTTTTTTTGCCTTTGTCCAATAAACTTGCAAAGATTTGATTGATACCACAAATAATTTTGTGCTTGTGCCTGTTTTTTTCCAGCTTATTTCTTTAGATTATCTAGTATTCAAGTTAAACTATTCCAAATATATTTACTTAATAAATTCATAAAACGAGTATTTAAGTGAATTAAAATTTTTAGATCACTTTTCAAATCATTTTTTTTAGCTATTTTTCAAATCTTAATAAATTCTTAAAACGAATATTTAAATAAGTTAAAATTTTTCAGATCTCTTTTCAAATCATATTTGAATTTGATTCTTATCATTGCTATTTTGTATTTATTCTTTATCATATTCTTATTTTTTTTGTATTAAGTAATGCTTTTGAATTTATTAATTATGTATGCAAAATCTCACCATTTTTGCTACCATAATTTGCTATAAATTTTTGCAATATTTATAGCTAAAATATTTTTGCAATAATTTATTTCAGGTGTTAGCATCAACAACAACTTTTTACAATGATAAGTTTACTGCATTACCAGATGAATTAACTTTTATAATTAATCATACGTCAACTTCACTTCATAACATTTCGATTACCGAAGAAACAGTTATGAATAATAACAGTTTGGCTATTCATTCTCATACAGTATTTACCAATATTACTTCAGAGCAAATACAGCAATATATGAGTCATACCAAGTTTGTTTTACTATTTTAAGCCTTCAAAAATTTGAATTAAATTAAAATTAGGCAGTTAATATAATTGCTTATATATTTTATTTCTCGAATATTAATTTTATTTTTTTGTTTGTTTAATAACTGCAAACAATTTATAGGTTGCATTTTAATTAAGCTAATATATGCGAATTTAAATAATTATTCACTATTTTTTGAATAAAAATGACAGTTATGAAATTTGAAATATTTATTTATTTACTAATTTATTTGTATTCAATTTATATATAGTTATATTTATTGATTATTAAATGTACTAAGAATAGAAATGAAATACTCTATTACACAATTAAACAATTATGAAGTTTTTTTGAGTAACAAAAACAATAATTAAAATAGGAATATGCTAATTTTTGGAAAATAATTAATATTATGCAGATTGCTTCAGATTCATTTCTATCATAGTAATTGGCAGTATATTTGCAATATTAACAACAGGTGGTAATTTGATGGTTATGGTAAGCTTTAAAATCGACAAGCAATTACAAACAGTCAGCAATTATTTTTTATTTAGCCTTGCTGTTGCTGATATTGCAATTGGTATCAATTTTAATTTTAATTTTTTATAAATAATAATACAAAATAGATAAATTTTAAATTGATAGCATATCTTCATTCAAGATTAATTCAACAAGTTTAAACTTAATTAGCAGCTGTAATTAATTGTAGTGATCATATGAAGCAAACTCTTTAAATGCCAAATTTAAAATATAAAAATTTTTAAATTTTGTATAGAATCTTCAATTGTTAATTTTTTTAAACAATATTGAAGCTTTTATTTATTTTTTTAAATTTCAGCAAAAGATCGTTGATTAGTATTTTTTGCATTATTATTTATAAAAATTAAAAGTATAAATTCAAAAAAACTACTAAAAGATGATTAAAAAATTACTAAAAATTATTTAAAAAATTACTGAAAATTAGTAAAGTATAAATATTAAAAATTATATTAAAAAATTACTAAAATTTTTGATGAATGACAATACTCAAATAGAATAGTAATCTTTATTATTTGATCGTTCAAGATTTAAATTTGATTATATTTGCTAATACTAAGCAACTTCCAAGTATCTTCAGAATGCTAAAAACTCCAAAAAAATACGCTTGCAGTCAATTTCAGTTTTATTACTGAGTAAAAAAAGTAATTTTAGCTTTATTATATTTGCAAAATTCATTTTAGTTAAGTTTAATTTTTATCAGTTTCATTCAATTAAAAAATTATAAATAAGATTTTAAAGCATTTTTCATATATGTAGAAGATAAGTTAGATCAAATCTGAACTGACTCAATCTAAAGTTATTTCACAAATGCTTCTTAATTACTTGCATTTTAGGGCTTGTGTCAATCCCAGTGATGACCTATTACATGGCCGCAAATTCAAAATGGGGCCTAGGCTATTCAATGTGCCAATTTTGGTTATGCCTAGATTACATGATGTGTAATGCATCTGTGCTTAATCTCTTGCTTATATCCTTAGATCGATATTTTTCAGTTACTAAACCATTAACTTATCGGCCAAGGTTACAAATTATTTATTTTGATTTTTAGATTTTTTTAAAATTTTAGGATGTAATTAAATCAAATATATAATCTCAATTTTTTTGTTCAATTAAATTAAATATATAAAATTTTATTTT